ACTATGGACGCGTTCCTTAAACAGTCTCTTTGCTGCAGAAGCTTGCTTTTCCAGCTGCCTAATTGTGTAGGGTGTTTTAGGCGCTGAATCAGTTGATCGACTGCCTGAAGAAATAGAGGTCTTTAGTTGAATATTCAACTTGCTTGCTAAGCACTCTATCTGGATTGAAAGGAATCAGGCCAATAGCTGCAAAACTGTTCTAAATAGACTTTGCTGTAAAAGCAAGATCACGGGCCGTTGCAAACATCTCTAAAAAATCAAACTTTGTAATATGCCTGACTCCTAGATTTGTCTTTTGCTTCACTAGATCGCCGTACGCGCCTTTTAGACCTCGAAAGCAGCCCACATCTAGAGACTGGAGATTGTTGAAAGAATGCGGAGACATGCAGATAGGAATAATATTATTCTCACTGCATAATTGATCGAATTGAGGCGAGAGATGGCTGCCATGGCCGTCCATAACTAAAAGGCGGTATTTCTCAATCGTACGGTGAATAGTCATAAGAATAAAGAAATATTCTAACCAGCGAAGGCCTATCTCATTAGAAGTCCATCCATTAGGACTAACTTCAAGCCTGGTATCCAGTGGAAGCTTTGGTTTTTCATACCAACCTTCTATATGAACCTTCCCTTTGAAGATAACACACGGAGGAAGCACTCAACCAGTAGAGTTAATACATTCAATCGAAGTAACCCATTTCCGATTGCCTGGCTATACAACACGCGCTTTGTCATAATAATCAGCTCTAGTAAGTACTCGAGCATTAGATATTAGGCCCATAGCGAAGCCAATCTCGTCGAAGTTGTAGATATCCTCCTGTGCGATCTCATGTTGCATTATAGTGATTTGTACGCGATCAAATCACTCTTTCATCATTTTAAAGTCTTCGCATTTAGCGCGTCGATAGTCATATCGTCGAAAAAAGCAGGATTTTATTTCAGAACGGCGTTTAATAAAGTTGGTAATCCAGTTCACTTCAACTGATTGAATAGATGTAGTACCGCAGCCAACAAGAAGAATATTAGCCATTTCTCGTGCATCTGATGACTTAGGAGGAGCTTCATGTCGATCTAGCGATAGAATCCATCGTACAAACGATTCTTCTTCATTTTGAGTCATTTTATGGTTGTTGGCGCGTATTTTTGAACGCGAAGTTCTTCCGCTAAGTCGACTACTGAGAGTTTCATGACAGATATGAAAAACACGCGCAGCTTCACGAATACTGCGAATTTCTTGATTTTTCAAAGCAGCAACAGCAAGTTTGATTCTGTCTTCCCGTTCTGCTAATTTTCTTGAATTTTGACGCGCTTTTGGAGGCATGGTTGATGATTGAATTAGGTGAGGTTTTCCAACGCGTCTAAGTTGCGGGCGGTGTCACGTTCGTTTGTGTGTCACGTTCGCTTGTGAAATACGTTAGACCTTCTTTGATTAAAAAATGTCTTTGAACCGCTTTTTAAATACTATATAATTGATACAAAATGCTTGCTTATTCTTGACAGCCATAATAATCATTTGATTGCTAAATTCAATGATTTTTATAAACAAAATGCAATAATATGTCTCTGCATGTTTGTTCACGTTTCACATCTTCTTCAACCACTTGATGTGAATGTTTTTGACCCGTTTAAAAAGGCGTACGGAAAGCTTCTTAAAAACCATATAACTGCTGATAACAATCACATTGATAAAGAAGACTTTTTATGACTATATCCGGATACACATAAACAAATCTTTACTGCAGTCAATATCTGCAGCAATTTTAGAAAAATAGAGCTTAAGTCGTTTGATCTAGAGCATGTTTTCTCTACATTTAGCTTTCAACTACATATATCTATACTATCACTAGTTGAAGATTCAATTTCCTCTGTTTTTCAAACTCCGCAAAATACTCGCCAATTAAATCAAAAGATTCAAAGCCTGCAAAACAGTCTTAATAGAAAACGACAGCTTTCTAACAATCCTATTGCGCATATTCAACATCTTGAAAAAGCAACGCAAATGGTGATGCAAACTACCCTTTTTTTACAACAAGAAATTAAAGCTGTACGCGCTGAAAATGGACGACAACGTCAAAAAAAAAACAAGAAAACATGCTGAGATAGATAATGACCGTTTTTTTAATATACAAAAAGATGAAAATCGCGTTCAGCAACTTGATACACAGTTTAATGAATAATCTACAAAATCTACTTTAATGTCTCATCGACGAGCTCCGCAGCGTTATAATAGATGTGGGACAGTCGGACATACAATTCGAAATTGCCTTAGTAAATGACTATAATGTCATATATTTAATTAGTTAGATTTAATGGCGTTGGTGGTTGAAAGCCCTAGGAAGTAGGAGTTTTGGTGGAAAGGGCGCGGCTCGGTGGTAGGCGCGGCTCGGTGGTTGAAAATGTTAAGTTTAACGTAAATCACAAGCGAGCTGCGAATCTGAGCGAGCCGCGAATTTGTATTCCCATACAAAATGGCACTTTTCAACTTGGAATATCTCAGCCATTTCTATGTCGCATAAAATATTATTTAAGATTAGGATTATATGAAACTATTTAATGATAATATACTAGATTTTAATCTATTCTTTAGACTAATTGTCCAGGTATTATAAATTACACTGTATTATAACACTCCTTATGTATTTAAGACTCCCATAGGTTTCTTTGTTACATAAAAAAATATTATACAGTTTACCTATATAATACTTCAGGTCTTCAATATATTTTATTAGAATAGAGGTATGGCTGAGATATTCCAAGTTGAAAAGTGCCATTTTGTATGGGAATACAAATTCGCGGCTCGCTCAGATTCGCAGCTCGCTTGTGATTTACGTTAACGTTTTCAACCACCGAGCGGTCTAAACCCCCGAGCGGTCCGTTTTCTTCCGCACCCCCATCTAAATCGACCTTTAAAACCACCAACGCTATTAGAATTGATTAATTAAAATACATGAAATAATAGCTATTTACTAGGGCAATTCCGAATTGTATGTCCGATTGTTCCACATCCACTACAGCGTTGCGGAGCTCGTCGATGAGGCGCCGGAGTAGATTCCGCAGACTGCTCATTAAGCTGCGTGTTAAGCTGCTGAACGCGATTTTCACCTTTTTGGACATTAAGAAGGCGGTCATTTCCTATTTCAGCACGTTTTCTTGCCTTTTTCTGGCGTTGTCGTCCATTTTCAGCACGTATAGCCCTAATTTCTTGCTCTAAAAGTAGCTGGGTTTGCATTGCCATTTGCGCCGCTTTCTCAAGATGTTGAATATGCGCAATAGGACTGCTAGAAAGCTGCCGCTTTCTATTAAGACTGTTTTGCAGGCTTCGAACCTTTCGATCTAGCTGGCGAGTATTCTGCGGAGTCTGAAAAGCAGAAGAAATTGAGCCTTCAACTAGTGGTGGTGTAGGCGTACATAATTGAAAGGTAAGCGTAGAGAGAACATGCTCTGAATTAAGCGGCTTAAGTCCTGTTCCTCTAAAACCGCTGCAGATATTAGATGAAGTAAAGACTTCCTTGTGTGCATTTGGATATAACGATAGAAAGTCTTCTTTATCAATATGATTGTTGCCGACTTTCATACGATGTTCAAGAAGCTTTCCGTACGCCCTCTTAAGCGGACTAAAGAACCCCACATCAAGCGGTTGAAGAAGATGCGAAGCATGGGCAGGCATGCAGAGACAGATTATTGCATACTGCTTGCAGAAATTATCAAATTCAGCAATTAGATGGCTGCTATGACCGTCAAGAATAAGTAACCGCTTAACATCAATCATATAGCGCTTAGAAAGCGGTTCAAAGACATTTTTCAATCAAAGAAGGCCTATTTCATCAGTCGTCCAGCCATTCTGACTAGTAGAAATCCACCAGTCGCGAGGAAGCTTAGATTTTTGGAATCAGGCAGCCTGTTGGACGCTTGCTTTCAATATAATAACTGGCGGTAGATATACACCTTTTGACCCGATTGTCTCGATAACTGTGACTCATTCACAATTGCTCTGAATAACTCTGCGCGGCCGCTCGTTTCGCTCAACTGCAGTAATCACTTTTGAAGTAAAGCAGAGTCCCATTGCAAAGTCAGTTTCGTTGAAGTTCCAGATATCGTCTTCATGTATGCCGTGTTCTTGAATAGTTGCTTGTACAGTCTCAAACCACGGTTTTATAATCTTTGGATCTTTCTGCTTTGCGCGCTGATAAGTAATACGTCTAGTATATCGCGTACGAAGTTCAGAATGATGCTTAACGAATTTATAAGATCAGTTGATTCCGAGGGCTGCAGACATGCCTTGTAGGCGATTATCAAACAATATCTGAGCTATTCCATGCAGAAATTCGGGCCGAATTGGGAATCCTCGCTTATCTGCATTTAGTAATTGCTTTAAAAGCAATTGCTCTTCGATTTCGGTCAGTTTGTGGCCATTAGCGCGTGTTTCCGATCGTGGTTTGATTCCATTAAGCCGTCGCAATAAAGTCGTTTTTGAAACACTAAATAGATCTGCCGTACGCGTTTTTGATCGAATTTTTTTGATTTAGAGGCAGATACTGCCATCTGAATTCGACTCTCCTTAGAAAGATGCATTTCCGATGATAGTGGTGGAAAAAAGACGCGTCGAAGTTGAAGTTCTGAATTAGATAGGGGGTGGTGGAGAAAACGGACCGCTCGGGGGTTTAGACCGCTCGGTGGTTGAAAACGTTATAAATGTTAAGTTATGTAATGTGAATACCATCACCCGATCCCCAAGAGGAATTTGTCGAAAAATAAGTCCAATTAGAATGTAACAACCCCAGATACACGAGAGGCTTGCACTGTGCGATAGCCAATAAATGGACATGGAGAACCGTTCAAGGAATGAAAAACACGCGATTAAGAATGTGCTCAAATATGCAATTGACAACATTACTCGCAGCACCCCTTACATTAGAGGCAATTTTACTATTTCAATGAGCCCAAAGCCCGCTACAATCGCAAGGCGTCACCATGCAAATAATTGCGCAACTCTTAGCAATATGAAGTCCTTCTTTGCTATTATTCTTCCCATTGTCTCGCTTGCCGTAGCTCAAGACCTGCCAACTTGTGCTGGAACCTTGAAATGCTGCGCCGGAGTGACACCCTACTCGGTCCTGCCCAACGAAATTCTCGCCGATTACGGTGTGGATGCTGAAGATGAGGGCAACATCTGTGGTAATAGTAAGTCTGACCTGAATGCAGCTCGATTCTATGCTTTGCAGTGACTGACCCGAGACTATTGTCTAGGCACTGCCGTCACAGAGGATTTCGATGTGGAGATCTGTGATGTCGTTGGGGATACAGTTCAGTGCTGCCTGCCATTTGTTCAAAGAGGAGAGCTCGTAAGTCTTTTATTCATGGCTGTTTGAGAATTACCATTATGCTGATTGATGTGAACTATAGCCCGAAGATTTGACATTCAACTGCCACGACGTTTAGGGCCGTGACGCTATGTGGCTGTCTTTGAGCCAAATCAGATAATGTTAATGAGCTCTAAATATTTTATCTAGGAGTGATATTGGATGGTTCAATCAGTGTAGCAGATGGAAATCCTCAAAAGTGCATGTAGAGGCAATATAGGAAATCAGGTCCGATACCTCTCTTGATCGATTAACCGGCTTTCATAGTACTTCTGAGAGAAATAGCTGTCATCGCAAGCCCAAGCCTAATCATTCGCCCTCGGTGTAAATACAAGATGCAATGGCCCAGTGCTCATCGTGAATGTGTCTTTCAGTTACCGCCAGTATTGTTTTGTCCTTGGACCCCTTGCCAGTGAAATACTATATTGGCTAAGGACCGAAGCCACGAGATGCCTTATTTGAGCCAATGCCATTTGTCTTTCAGGACACCCTAATGAGCCCGAGAAGAATGGCATGAACGAAGCTTTACCTGACTCAGTCACCAGGTCGGTGCTAGTTATCCAACGCTCAGGATCAAACTCGTTCGGCTGATTGAAGTTTCTCTCATCCCGGAAGACACTGTGAATGATGACCTGGACGTTAGTATTTCTGGGTATGAACGTGTGGCCGATGAGGAGACCCTCAGGGGGTGTGAAGCGTTGGAACACGCTTGGCGAGGGGAAAATGTAAATGAAGCGTTTCGTTGATAACAGCATCTAGATGTAGAAGTTTGGCTAGCAAGGCTGAGCCCATGAACCTCGGATTGCCAAATTAATTCAATATTTTTGTTGAATCTTAGTGGCCTGGTGTGGAAAGGACGCAAGGAAAAAGAACGGCCCCGTCATCGTGATTGTATTTGTATCACGAAATCATGTCTGGCCTGTTATTCATCGCCAGTCCCACCCGACATACCTGCCAGCCATGCAGATGATGGCTGCGTCACCGGTCAAGCGAAGTTTCCTTTTCTCGACCAAGACTTGGCTGTGGGGGTTATATTCGTGAAAGAACGAAAGAACATCAGCGACCTTTTGTAATCTCTGGAAATACAGTGTCAGTGGGCGAATTTGGAAAGGCTTAACGCGGCTCGAGCTTGCCTCAATTCTCCGTTGAAGATGGTGGCTAGTGAGATTAATGAAGGATTGGAATTTTCTTTTGATTGTTGGAACCATTCCCAAGAACCGAAATCAACTATGGTACATGGCCATAAGTACCGAAGAACTCAACGAATTGACGAGGAGTAGTGATGAATTCTGTGTGACCTTCTGACTCCAACATGCCAAGTGTTTCCTATACATGTATATCTTGGATTCAGCGACGGAGGGATTCCGCGTGATATTCAACTTTCTTCGCGAGAACACATACAAAGCATTTTAGTCAATTGCAAATTAGGTAAAGATCGCACAGGGGTCTTTATTGCCGTGATACTTCTCGTGTTTGGGGTCTCGGACACAGATATCATCGAGGACTTTCGCCAATCGGAGAAAGGTATAGCAAATCTTGTCTGGGTAAGGAAAGAGAAGATGAGGGAGTTCCTGTCGTCCCAGCGTGTATCCGCATACCCCAATGCGCTGGATATGCATTTCTCTGCGGTACCTGAGGCTATGCGCACATTTCTCATACGATTTAGGCATGTTCGGAGTATCGGGTTTACGCAAGAGGATATTACCACTATACAGAACAATCTCCTTTCAGATATATGAAAATCTATTGGTATATATAGGGTAGAGGACTCGACTGATGAATCAATCACCTTTTGGCATGTTGTCGAATGGATGCGTTAATGTAAGCGCATACTGAGTCTAGAGCTAACTTCCGCGCCTGTCTTCACCATTGACAGTTTATTTTGTAAGGCTTTTGAATGAGCTCTTGTGATATTCCATGTAACTAGAAGCAGCTAAAAATCACGAGATTCTATAGAACTAGAGCAGCAGTGTTGATGATAGTCAACTCAACAGAGATAGTTTTTAGAATGTGATGATCTTGCATAACCTATCCGTTAATACCTTCCAGCCCTTTTGTTTTCTATTTATTCAGATTGTATTGTGTGTGTTTATGCTCAACGGCGTGCAACGACATGTTACCCAAGTCAACCAGCAAAACGAGCAATGTATCCCCTTGATTTTTAGATATATCACAAAACATGGGTTCATTACACATCAACTCATCTTGAATCCAATGAATTTTATTAAAAACCCCGGCCGCCCTGCTTAAAGTGCCATCGGATCGCGCAAGCCATGGCCGCCCGGGACTAAACCCAAGGAGGAGGATCCGTCAGGTCGGCCTGCCTGTCCGGGCCTAGCGTGGTAGATTCGGGATCCCCCGCCCCGAATGCAACGCTAAGATGCCCCGAGTTCAGCCTGTTCAGCGCCCTCGTGCCACGAGGCAATTTCCTGTCCAATCCGCGTATACGAGATGCGCCTTGGCAAATTAACAGCCCCGTTAGTCAGTCGGATTGGGAAGGGCTAAAATGAAAGGACTGGAACCATGAGAGGTTTTCGTTTTCATATTTGCCTCTCATTTCAATGTTACCTTACAGTAGTTCCTCGTAGGGGATGGATGAATGACTCAATGAGTCATGAGGCCGTTAGGGTTTGCCATTGCTCCAGGCCTCGACTGGACCGGGGTGGCCTAGGTCGTTGGGGCGAAAATGAAAGATCGGTTTCCCCGTGGGCGCTCTTGATCGACTCCGCAATAATACGGACGAGCATGGTCATAACTTCCTGGGGTTCTTGGCGGGGCTCGCTAAATTTTCTCGCCTATGACCCAATGACTGATTGTTTAATATTGCGCGAATTTACACTAGATTGTGTCTTCGGGGGAACTGGTCCTGACGGAAGAGATTCAAAGCAATCGAAATGGGCATGAATGCTGTCGTATTGTGCACTGCTCAGATGCAAACCTCGGCGCTTGGGGCTCAAAAAAAGGAGCTATTTCATTCTACGGACCCAGTCACATATGCAAGACTAAGTCAGGTGTCATTAGAACGTGGGCGGGGCTATATAGACATAGAATGATCAATTACTCCTTACTCAGGCTTCTTTTCCACTTTGTGTTCTACGTATGTCGGTGCGCAATTCTTTTCCTTCTTCTACTTTCACTCTACGGAGTAAACGTAGGGAGTGCTGATCGGAAAAAAGGGAAGCAATAGGAAAAGTGAAACATTCTACGTTTGTTATGCATGTGTAGCTTTCCGTCTCTAGCGAATGAAAAAGAAAAGGCTTGAAAAGGGTCGGGAGCGGACTGACGCCCCAAAGTCTTTTCTTTCATCGGCGCGCTCCCTGTGCCGACGTGGCTGCGCCAGGGAATCGAATCCTTCCAAAGCGTCGCGTCGCGTCGCACAGAACGGGCTTGTTGAAAATCGAACTTCTTGGCGTAAGATTTGCTGGAGGGGGTTTGACTTGACTGGTGGATTAATTCTAGCTGTTTGCGGTGTATGTCGTGCGTAGAAGTTTTGTTGGTCTGATTCTCTTTTGTTCATGTGAAACATAGCCAAGGAAATGGAACTGGAAGATCTACTCTCCAACAACACAGATATCTCAAAAGACATTGAAAGAGCACCCTCTAATAAAACCAAGTCAATTCATCAAGCCTTGTTCTACCGGGAATCACTAAGCACAAAACAGGAGCAGAAAGGGCAAGATTATGCACATGATCGAAAAGAAGAAATTATAACAACCCCTTTATCATTTCACAGAAATCAAATCACACTTGCTCGCAAACGATGCGTTGCGCGCAGGGTATAGATGCGATTTGATACAAGTCAACTTTAACACCATCTTTGTCTTCACATCTCTGCTCTGGGACTTCGACCATCAACCCTTCACTTCGTTTACTTCGGGGACGCTCTCATCGCTGTCCATCTTTTGTCCAGCAACGTGCACCGAAGTGCTGGTGCGTCGGAGCGCCTCTTCGAGGTATTCGGGCTTGAGTTGACCGTGTTTGTCGTAGCGGAAGGGCTCTTTGATGGAGATGGGCGCGGCGTCGAATATGCTAGTTGATTTCTTGAAAATGTTGTCCATTTCCTCAAGGGACCGGTAGCGGGTTTCGGGGAAGAAGAAGTACACGAAGGGGAACATGAACGCGTTGCTGTTGGTTGAATTGTTAGTTAGGAGACCGGAGTTCAAGTAAGTAGGGTTGGGGTGCTCACATGACAGCGAAGATGATGTAGGTCTTGTAGCCGATACTGTCGAATGCGACAGGTGTGATCATCACGACCATGAAGTTGAAGATCCAGTTAGCACTATGAAAGCGTTAGTTCTGTCATACTTGAAAAACCTTGTGAGTATATTTATTTAGAGGTAGTATACCTGGTCGACAGCGCGTTGGTCGGCGCACGGATACGTAGGGGCACAATCTCAGCTGGGTACAACCAGGTCATTCCGAGCCATCCAATCGCGAAGAATGTGTTGAAGACGAAGAGGAACACAGCTTGTCCGATACCAGCTTGGGTGTCGCCCAGATGGGTCAATCGATAGTTGGTACCGGCAAGGACAGCCATGGAGATGGACATGCCAGCAGCCTAATTAAACGTTAGCTTCAATACATCAAGAAGGCAGGAATATGACGTACTCCGAAAAGCATTAGCGGGCGACGCCCGACCTTCTCAATGATGAAGATTGGAATAAACGCTGCCGCGAGGTACTCGGTACCGTTGCATGCGGCCAGAAGCTTCGGTTGCTGGCCCTTGCCGAGACCAATATCCTTGTATAGTTGAGGAGCCTGTGTTGAGCGATATATTAGCAAGGGACCCGCGAGGAAGGTATCAATTGGATAGCTCACATAGTAGGTGATCAGATTAATTCCGGAAATCTGTTGGAACATCTGGTTGATATAAGCCAATGCGACGCGATGGAATTCGCGGTACTCGCTCATATCGAACAGACTGCGGTATGAGCCCTTGGACATCTCCTTGACCGTAGCCTGAATAGCGTGCAGCTCGTTCAGGATGTAAGGGTCATCTCGAGGCTTCTCATTCAAGGCCTCCAAGATCTCCAGGGCCTCATCATTGCGGCCTTGCATGACAAGCCAACGGGGAGATTCGGGTAGATTGAGAATGGAGCAGAAGATGATGACCGCAAATATAATCTGGAAAGCGATAGGGAAACGCCAGGCAACCTCGTGGTCTCCGATGTGAGCGAAGCCTGCGCCATGGAAAGTCAGTAACTGCCATCGTAATTTGAAAAGGTCCAGCAAATCTCACCGTAGTTAATCCAGTAGCTCAGCGTAATACCCGCCGTGATGAGCATACCCTCAATCATGACCATTTTACCACGATCGTGAGCCTTGGAAGACTCGGACTGCCAGGTGGGTACAGTACTCGTATTCATGCCGTTTCCGATACCTGTGACAATTCGACCGACCACGAGATGTGGTAAATGATATGCTGTAGTCTGCAGTAAAGCCCCAGTCGCCATGGTCACACATCCCAGAAAGATAGTCCTGCGTCTGCCGAGCGGGTTGCCAATGAAGATAGTTATGATAGCACCGAGGAAACATCCTAGATTGTATGACGCGACTGCGATTCCCTGGGTTGAGCTGCGCTCCGACTTCACGGCATCACTGATGCCCGGCTCTCGGGTATCGATACTGGGGAAATATTTCACAAAAGCTGGCAGGTCAAGCAGACCACCCGTGACACCTTGATCATATCCGAAAAGCCTGCGGCGCAAATATTAGTTTGTTGCATTGCAGATAAGTTGGCATTACAAGTCCTGCGAGAATGGCGCGACGTACAGAAAATCAAGACTACCCAGGGAACTAATGGCCAAGTTAAGGGATCTGCCTCTCCAGCCGAAGAACTTGGGAATCCCAAACATGATGAACGAACACGGCGCAAAACGGCGTCGCTCAGAATCTTGAACCTGGAGAAAAAAAAATGGGGAAATGCGGGACAAATCCGGGGCAGTGATGACAAGCAGCTGGTTATATAGCGTCGCCATTTTTCTCTGCTTCCTTTCAGTCCTCGGGTTGATGAATAGGGTAACCCGAGCGCAGCAGGGTTCATACAGTGGTCAGGGGAGGGCCAAGATACGAGGGGAGACCCCCAGTCCCCAATACCATGCTTAGCGGGAGGTGGGGACTGGGGGAGGTTTGCTCGTGGCTTGCTGGTGACGATGTAACTGGACCAAAGGCGCCATTCCTGCCTGGATATTATCAACGAACCCAATCTGACGCCGTACCAAACACTTGGCGGAGCTACCGATTGGACTTGGCGGATTTGACATATTGATAAATTGATAATATGCGCGGCATCTTAGGGCTTGCTTACTCAGGAGAAGGCCCCCGGTCTAAAATCTGGGCAAAATCTGGGCAAAAGCTGGGCGGGAATCTGTGCACTGCCTCGGCCTCTGAGAGCCCGCTTGAGGTTGGCTCACGATCTTCTTGGCACCGCTTGGCAGAATGGCCTAACTGTGAAAAATCCCCCGATCTCTCGTTGCTGATGGCGCAAGGGCTTCCGGGCTACCCCGGGCGTGGCGCTATACATGACGGAGAAGGCGCTGCTTAGCTCTGGGGCCCCAAGTTTGGGGAGTGAGAATTGAAAAGGGGACAGAAAAGAAGTGCCGGAGTAATGAAGGCCGACTTGAACTTCCCCTTTCTACACTTATAATCGATCTATCAGGACTATAGTTACTGTCTAACCTCTCGTTGGCGATGTATCACATCTCCCGCATTCTCTCTCATGAGACTAGCACTCAGATGAGCTGGCAGGTAGAATGTGTTCTATTTAGTAGAATCCTAGAGCTAGCTGATGTTGCAGCACTAATTCATCGGCTTGCGGAGGGCAACGGCGCCAGGCAGCAGTATGCGAAGGAGGGCCAATCGATCGCCGCAGGATTCGAAAACACGGAATACCAAAGTAGGCGAGACCAGCCGACAGCGTCGCCAAGACCTTGTTTCGCATATGGATTGCATGCTCAAACGACGCTTGAGCCGCTAATGTGCGTTGGATTCTTGGAGTGCGACCTCGCATCCGGGATAAGAAAATTGCTTTCGATCAGAACAATCAAAAGGAGTAGGACAACGCTGAGTCCGAGGCCTTTTCTCCGATTACCTTGACGTCATCGGGCCTTCTCCAACGTCCCGAAGTTAAGGATACGCCTGCGCCAGCCTACGTAGTTGAGGTCCGAGCATGAGCATGAGGACTAGAATGGCAACCTCCTCTCCAGGTATGATTGGTTTTATCCGCAAGATGCTAGGAATATTTTCATGTGTTCGTCTCACACCGACGACAGGGCGTCCTCGAGCTGTGCGTGGGCATGCGAAGTCATACCGCCGTTGGCACTTCATACGTAAAGTACTTTTGAACCTCCCAAGGTTAGCTATTCCAAATAGTTTAGTCGAGACGAGTATGCTTTGCCTGAAATTAATTGACGACTCGGTAAAGTGGACAGTACTAGATCCTTTACAACCGATGCTTACGACCCAATCGGGATAATTAGGTCCCTGATCATCGGTGTCACCAAAGCACCCACTTCTAGCTCCTAACATTACCACATGGCGGTTTGTGTCGGACTCTCTGGAGGTCATACTGCACGTGGCCTTCCCTGCAGCAGTCAAAAGCACCGTTGGTCAGCTGGCAGCTGATCCTTGCCCGTATCCACGTTTATCCCCTCTTTGGCGAACACCTCTCCACACACGGAGAAATAGGTACTCCCACTACGGAGCTCACAGTTTCCAAACGTATGCCAGGTGTAAGAAACAGTTATCGGCATGAGATAATATGCGAAGCAAGTTGTTGAGTCCAGGTACAAGTGATAAACCATCTGAAGGTTGTGGCATCGCGTTGATTGGCCATATCTCCATAACAAATCGTCAGTCTGCTGGTATGTCCCGACTCCAGGGCAGATGCCTAAGCAACGACCAAGACTTTGCTTTTCAACATCTAGGCATCAGCTCAAGCTTCAACACGCCTTGGCACATGTCTCGTCTACATTCGGGTCACTCTAGTGGTGAAATGTGTCCCTGTAGAAGATTAGCCTGCATGTCGCTGGGAGGATGTGTAAGGTTTCTGCCGCCTCTGATGCCGAGGATAACTGATAGGAAAGGCATCCTGCAAGCCACAAAAACGCCATCTTCATGCACGATCGTTCAGACCCACGGATATTATGGATACCGATGGGGTAATTACCTAATTTCCCGGAACATGCAGTAGGAGAAAGTCTAGCGTATCATTGTCATGCTAAGGTTCTAACCAGTGGACATTTTCAAGATAGGCCAATCAACTCATATCAAGTATGTCGGATGATAAGCAATCCACTAATTCTGAATATAGGGCTTGTATTTGCCAAGTAGCTTAGGTTGTTGCTGCTACATCCATTCCTGAGTCAGGGTGAAAGCAATTTTGTTCCGGAAATCGGGAGATGTGAAGTCGATGATAAACCATGATAACCTTGAAGATATACTACGTAGTCACGTTGTGGTATCAGCCCTAACCCAGCTACGGGTCCAGACTAAGTCTCTGGTCTTGATTCCCACGAGAGCTGGAGACCCAAACACAAAGAATGGAGTCTCATTTTCGTGTGTATCTCGTTCGTGTAGCAGCGGAATATATTGCATTATATTATCCTGCTCATTCCCCCTGACCATCGTCCTCTAGAGGCTCCATAGAAAATCACAAACAAGGAAGCAGCAGCCTAGATCCTTATTAGTACCGGGTATCCCTACTCATCATATAGCAGTAAGGGCTAAGTCTCCCGTAGTGGATGATCTGGCATCGCAAAGCTCAGGTTCAGCTCGGTCAACGCCTTTGAAACTGTAACACTGAAGAGGTTACATGCAACTCATAGCAAAGCATTCCTGATCATCATCAGCCTGAGGCGCGCTGCACATCGTAAGGTTGTTATAAATTCTGTTTAGCACCGGCTTGCTTTAATGCGTGAAGAATTGTCTAATAACATGTCCATCTGACAGCACGGCTGTTTATTCGTACGCGAAAAGGGAAAGGTTACTCGGGACACTTAAAATCATCTGTTCAACGAGCAAGCATTAGCAGAGCTTAAAAGAAGTGACATCATCCAGTGTGTGATATTCTATAATTCCATCGAACGCTATTCATGTCTGGACGTGTCATGGGCGAGTCTGGCGAAAATGGAAGCCATTGCATGCATCTTCCAAGACAGCTGTAGGACGTTTCATGCCGGGCAATATGTAACCACCAGGGCTAATAATTCCGAAGATTGAAAGCCCAAGATAGTATTGCATGTCAGCAATGAAGGTAACTTTTCATTCAGCCTTTACGTTACTATTCAACAGCGATCACTCTTCCGGCGTTGGAAAGTGCATACCCGTATAAATAGCAAAAGCCGTTATGGTGAAAAGTGATACCTATGAACTGTAAAATTTATTAGCTCTTACCCGACCAGATTATCAGACCAAATTAGCTTTACCTATTCTTGAAGTTATGGAAGCTAAAAGTGATCCGAGCAGGTACTATCGTGATATACTTGACAATATCAATATCTCAAAAGGCGAGAGCGACCCACAATCGTAATTGGTATCTCTTCTAAGATAAGAGGAATTGATGTGCCTCTAGAGAAAAATAGCCTGATGCAAAAGCGATCGCGATTCTGTCTGGTACGCTAGCGCGTTCAACAAAGCAGCCTCGCAGATGGTTCCCTGCCTTGAAACCACACAAAAGGAGTTACGGTCCACATGATCAATCATGACGAGCTCGGAGCTGCATCTGAGTCATTAAGAGGGATTTACATGGCGGCTGAAACATCACCTTTTGCTCTTGTCATTAATATAACAATGATGTCTGTTGCACTCAGCACTTCAAACTTTGCTGCCCACAGACTCAAAAATTTCACTCACACCTCGATTTACTACGTGGGCTGCCAACAGTCCCAGAGCTTGACGACGGGTCTTCACTCATTCGTAAATGTCCCCAGCACTGCCACATTTGCAGCTAGCAGTTACACTATGCAATGGCTGGGTGCACTGTCTTGAGAGGATGTTGACTGGGCATGGTTGCAAAGTTGTATTCTTTTACTTAAACGCTTCCATCCACCAGTTTCAAAGGCAAGAATCAATGTATTGCACTATTATTGACTTCGCTGCCATTTAACAACATGTATGTCTTCATGAGTGATATTCTGGGGGTTCATGGGCTGCTAATGCTCCCACAAAGATACAACTCGGTAGTATTTGCGGAGTACCTCTTGGGAAGATTTGGATTATGGAATACTCCAGATAGTACTGATTTGGCGGGACTGTTTACATTTGGCCATGACATCGGTTCCTGTGAGGTTGTTGATCTTGGTTTAGACCAACGTCAACCCGCATTCCAATCATCTATGGACAGTGGGGACTACAAACGGTTGAATGCTAATTAGTATTTCAATGCCTTGTAGAATGGGAACATCAAAGAGGCGGCAGATCAAGGTCCCTCATCATGCTAACCAGTAATCTATTAAGTTCCATCATCTCCACTTCGTATGGCGAAGTTTCGCCATCCGGCGTTTGGCATGTCGTTGTTGTCAACTAGCGTGGCAGGTAAACAATAAGCGCCATCCCCTGGATCGTGCCAGTATAGGCTGCTATTACGAGAGTTCCCAATGCCACATTGGCAAGCAATAATTTTAATTGCGTGGATTTAAGCCATTTTGAAAGTAATCTCGAGCTCAATAAGGATCTGAAATTTCTGAAAAACATCATGTCCAATCTTTTGATTCCAAAGCATGATAACACAGCCGCCAATGTCGCGCAGTAAGTATGTTTACATCTCCGAAATCAAGGACCTTGTCAGAATTCCCCCCGGGCACCTAGCATAGAGATCCAGGAAGAGTTTTAACGTGTTTCTAAGATTTCCTCGGAA